ATCAAGGTAATTGCATGATAATTAATAAATCGTGCAGGTGCTTGTTGTTGCATCCCATGGGCCTGGAAATTTAATAATTATAACATAAGTTTTTACATGTTTTGCGATCACGTAAATAAAATCTTTTGCTTTGTCTGGAATAGCGACCTTCAAAGAATTTGATAAAGCATACACCGAACGAAATAGTGTGCATGTATAATCATTAATCGATTATAGATCTACTTTCGGTTTGGAGTATTATTTCTTGTTAATTATGAATATGTTTTGGAATAAATATGCGTAGGATATACATTTTTTTCATATACTATCACCAGTTATCCGAGGTTTCATTTTTGGGGATTTTTTTTTTTTACCTATTATTACTTTTCGTCGAAACGGGATAAATTTAGGAACCTTATTTGAAACATTAATGGGACAAGAAAAGGTATGTCTGCTTATGCTTAATGTCAATCGAAATATACTAACAATTTGTTTATTCTTGCATATGATAAATGTTTAATTGACGTGCATTTTTAAAAGTGTTTTTAAAGTGCACTTATTTGTCCTATATGTTTATTTATTGCACTCTGTTTACTGAAATCGGTTAGTCGGTATATGCACCTTGTCATTCAATGACTTCTTTTAAAAAGAATAGGTACTTCTAAAGAAAATGATTAATATATATATATATATGAAATGTTAGCCTGTCCAGAGACGTTTGTATTTTTAGATAAAATCAGAGGACGGATATTTTTTGTAATTCTGCAGAATCAAACAAATAAAAAAATAATATTACCTTATATAAATTTTGCAGAATTGTGCATTATTTCAAATTCATTTATATCGATATTCAGTTATACAACTGTAACCGATTAACTGAGCCTTTGTAAAGCATGCAGCTGCTATTTTTAATCACTGAGGGAGGCATCTATCTTTTTTTTCGAATCCAGAGTGAAGGCAAGCGGCTCGAACCTGCATACTGCTACACTTTACTTTTCTAAATCCCACATTGAATGAAGCTGACATTATGCATTATACACTTTTTGAAATGAAAGATATACATGTATATATATAGACCCCGTGTGTGAAGTGAATATGCATGTCATCAGTTTATGTTTTGCTGGTATTTACATATTTCTACGAAATTTAATACACCACAGGTTTTTCTTTTATTCTTGTTTGGGCTTTAAAGTATAAAGAGTGTAGATAAAAAGACAGTTGAAGTATGAAAGCAAATTTGAATAACGAAAGTACACAAAATATTCTGCACAATTTTGAAAGAATTCGTTTTTCATTTGATTTTGAATTTGTCTACTTACTATTATAACTTACAGCAAATGTGAATACAAATTCAATTTGTATATAGCTATTGCATAAATCTGAAGTGTAAGTGTTCACAGAATGCTTATGATAAGTGTCAACTGCACAGGTCCAGACGTAAAAATGATCCGTTCTTTTTTTCGCATTTCCTGGGTTTCAGTTTCAAATAATTTTCATATATAAAGTGCAGGGCATGTTTCTGTATAGCTGTAAAAATTATCGAACTTTTAGTGGTTGTGGGAAACAGAAAACGTTTCTATTGCGAAATAATGTTTAATATCTTTCGATTAAAAAGATTTCCTTAGTAGACATACGCACCGAGGTAAAGGTGATTTAGAAGAGAGTTTAATCGATCTTGTTTTTTTTATTTGATCTTGCATGTTTTATCTTCAAGTTTGATATTATGTAATGTGTTTAAAAACCAATCTAACATTAAACAAGACGATACACTGTTTTGATTTACTAGGGGGAAATCGATCTTATCTATCCCCTTAAACTATCCATAGATTTTTATCATTATAATTTTTTTTATAATAATAATTTTAAAAAAAAGTAATGGAATTTAGTGAACTGTTCTGATCGAAAGGCGCATGCACAAGTATGTTTTTCGTGTGTTTACTTCATCTCTGAAATTTTCAGGACAGATTCAATTAAAACTGCAACAAAGCATATAAAATAATATACATTGTATAAGTATCATGATATAGTGTACGAGGAAAATTTATGAAGTAGCCATGGCCAAGATTGGCGAAGTGGTGATTCTCGGCATTGATGTATTTTAAAGAAAAAATCTTGAGGAAAAAAGAAAGATTTCATATCTTATTTCATGTGGTTTTTTGCAAAGCATAGCCATTGAGATCAGGATGGAACGATTTCCGATAGCGGCCGTCACACATTAGGTTTTGTTGTAATGTATCTAGAACGTTTCATTGAAAACTCACTGTCACTTTATACATCTAAAAATCAGAGTGTTCAATGTCAATGTTGCAGAACACCATGTACATTCTATGTACACCAATGTTTTGTACGTAAAGTGTCAGGTAGAAAGTTTTATACGTACACCCTACATTGGAAGTTGGTATTGGATATACAGTGTTCATCTTTATAATGCTTCTTCGAGTGCAAGTAGCTTTACTAGATTTAGAGATAAGCTGACAAGGTTCATTTAACGAATTATCACAAAACATTATGTATATATATATATATATATATATATATATATATATATATATATATATATATATATATATATATATATATATATATAACAAAATTAATGTTTATGAAAGATTGAATATGGTAGTCTTACCTTGCTAGATCGAGCTAATAGTACTTAAAGCCAACATTTTATTATAATTTTTGCACATTTACAGTTGTTTTTTAAAACGGCTAAAAAAATTACAATAATGGAGGCCAAACAGTTCATTCAGTTTCGGACGTGAAAAACCTTGTTTAATTACATGCTTATATGGATTAAAGTATATGTATTTCAAAAGTTTTAATTTGAGCCGTTATTATAACTGGCGATAATTATAGGTCATTTCCACACAATATAAAATGCTTTTTGGTGTAAGTAAAAATAAATACTTTCCATTTTTCTTAACTGGGAAGCATAAACGCTGTTGTACCGCTTCTGCTAAACTGACCGATTTTTCAAGCTGTTACCCATTAGTATTTTTGGCCGGTAAATATATACAAAATTATCGTAAATCTAGCTTTAAATCCTATTGATCCAATCTATTTATATTTTTCGTACAAATGATTACCCTATCTAACTTTTTATAAACCTTTAGACGTACTACAAGCATTGTAACTGCATTAAATTCTCGTACCCTAATTATACCCCAGAATGCTGCTCTCCCGGTAGATGCATGTATAACAACTAGTTGAAAATTCCATCTACTCAAAGAAAGATATTATGAGATATAGCCAATCGTTATATGTATATCAAGTTTAAAATTAAACATTTAAAAAACAATTATAATGCTTTGTGATAATTCATTTAGTGGAAATTGTCAATATTCTCCCAAATCAAGTACAGCTATGTGCATTGAAAGAGGCACCTCGCGGGGGCTACACACAGAAACGCTATTTGATACCACCTTTAGATGTAGAATTAGCATGAATCTAGAGTTTTGCAGTGACACTGGACACTTCTTATTGTTTAAATTGCCAATGAGTTTTCACTGAAACGTACACATTACACACAAAAGAGACGGCCGCTATCGTATGGTGGGGCTACAGCATGAATATACAGTTTTGATGCCCATTGGTCCTTGATTTAGAAAAAAAGACTTTTTGAAGAAAAGTTTGAAGCGAGTGAAATCCAATGAAATCGAGTTTACTCACATTGCATTAATCATATGCATGCATGATTATTTTTTAAACATACTTATTTGTATTGGAACGTATATAGTATTGTTAAAAGCGTTTCCCACGCTTTCGTCTTAGTTTCGGGTAACATTTCATACGGAAGATTTGTAAAAAAAAAAGTTTATAGATCTAGCCTGTTTTTGATAGAACCTTTAGATATCGCGACCTTGTAAACAAATAATTATAATCAATAAAGACAGTTTGTTTTTCATTATAAACAATAGTCAAGCTTTGCTCTTTCTCCACGGATCTAAAACTGTCGCAGATTAAATTGTTCCCTCCTGAAATGTCACGTTCCAAGTTTCGACACATTTGACAAAGACGGTTTGTGAGGATATTTGATTTCATTTCTTTCTGAAAAACAAATACACATGTATGTGGTTAGAGTAAATATACCTTATCTCTATATCGTTTGATTGTTCGTTTGTTTAATTGTTTAACGTTCCTCTCTCGAGTTTTTCACTCATATGGAGACTCCATCTTTGCCGGTGGAGGGCTGCAAATTTTCACCTATACATGTACTCGGCGACTCGGCACTTACAGTCATTGAGCAGTGAGGGATCTTTTTCGTGCCAACACCTACTGCGATACGGGACCTCGGTTTATACGGTCTCATCCGAAGAACCGGTCTCCACGTCCCACAGTGGGATTCGAACCCGCGACGTAGGGATCAGCTCCTTATATCGCGACTCTAGAGCAGGCGCTCTAGCCACTGCGCCACGCAGGCGATCGCTATATCGTGAATTCTATGTGAAAAAACCCGTAAATATGTTTCACAAAAAAAATGAATTAGGGGAAAAAAAGATTATTGATAAAAATCAAGTAGAATTTTATGTCGAGAGAATTTCCGATAATGATAACCCCATTAAAATATTGTTCTTAGCTGACTCGTTCTGCTGTGAATTATTTAGTCATTGATTCACATGCCTCATGATACCTTCCGTATGGCAAATAGTGACAGGAGATAATCGGTACAGTAAAATACACAATTCAGTAAACGGAAATACCACTTCCAATATGTATCATTAGGGCCGTCAGGTTTGGGGGGTGCGATTGCCCTCCCTTTTAGAAATTAAAAAAAAAATCGAGATAATATCATTTTAAAATGAAATTAATTCATTATTCATCTGTTTACAGTAATGCTGCCAGATTTCGTTGTTTTATTGTGTGAAAGATCTGGCTCAGCTGGGGGGGGGGGGGGGGGTCAAGACCCTTCCTCGCACCCCTCCCCTTTTCAAATCAAATCTAACTATAACAAGTTGCTAACAATAGATGATAACTTGCAATATTGTAAATTGTTTGATTAAACAGGAAAAGAGTAATAAACATCTTCCATTAGTTCATGCACAGAATGATGACTTTCTTTAGAAGTTCAGCAGGACAAAACTTAATCGGCTTTTAATATACTTCAACCACTTCATCTCAATGGGTCCGGGAGCGCTAGAAATTTGTATGTTTGATAAAAAATGTTTCTGGAATTCTGAATGAATGAAGCTGGGGATTCCCTTTTGGCAAACCGACACGTGATAGAAATTTGCAGCCGGCGATGCCATCAGTTATATTTTTGGTGTATTTATTTCGCATTTGGATGTATTTTGCTCCCATTGACGAGACACATTCGGATAAAATGCAACCAATGTAAGTGATTTTCAACACGTTTGCATGCGGTTTAAAAAGTCGTATATCATTTTATAATTTGGCTTCAGTCTGTTTGTAACTAATCAGATTTAACCAGGACCGATTTGTGAAGTTGTCCTACTTTTCAGTGATCGACTTAGAGCTCGGAGACTCTTGTAAAGTTGTAACTATCACAACAACAGATTGTTTTGCTAATTTTCTCTACAAAGGACATAATATCTTTCTCAGGCATAATTTCTTTTCTCAGAGTTTTAGAAATTTGAAGTATGTATTCTGTTCAACTCAGTTAGCGCCGGATTCGACGTTTATTTTCTGTCAGACATTTAGATCAATATCACCTTGTTCAAGGATAAAAAGCTGTTGGTGTCTGGAAATGAAGCAGAATGTCTTCTTTATTTCTTGTTTACATCTTGTACTATTTGCTTATCTATCTATATATATCTGTTGTTCTTATCTTTCTATATAGTTGATTTTTTTTCTTTTGATGATTTCAAGTCATGCTCCGAGCGATGTAAATTTGCACATTGTATCTGCCATTATTGAAACATTTGAATAAAGCAAAATCCCTTTAATACGGCTAACATACACTGAACAGATTTTTTAAAACACAAATAATGTACTGTTGACACGCAGACAAATGCACTTGGACGAAGACGACGCTATCAAGTAGCGTATGGCAACAACGATTATATAATGGAAGTCCATGTTTTACCACATTTAGTCCGAAACGAACTGCTCGCTCAAGCACCGAAAGCTGACCGAAAAACAATGTGCGCGTAAATTTCAATTATTAAAAGAGGTCAAGAGCTGTAATAGATATGGAAAGATGAATGTCTACTTGTAGGTGCCTTAATTATATGATGTAACACAATAAATGTTGCATAATCTTTAAAATGCTGTTGTGAAACCTAATTAAATTGTCGTTTACTGGTTTCCTCGTCATTTTTTTTCAAAATTATTCCATGTTTTTAGCAAACAAAATACTTTTTTTCGAATATAAGCTTTATAAATCAATAAGTGGAACAATTACTTCGTTAAAATTAGATAATCACTCTAAATGGGGCAGGAATCTTTTCAAGGCTTTTTTTTTCAGAGGAAGAAAAAAAAATCTGAGAAACCTTTTCGAATTCAGAAAATTACATGCACGAGTTGCAAATTTGCAATTATAATTCTTTGATGAATTAACACGTGAGTGAAATACGCCGACAAAACAACCCATTACGTTATCTTGCTTAATAGTAATTAATCTATTTATCAACAGTGCATTAATCAAGGTTCCTACTGGCGTAAGTGCCCGTTGACATCTCTTAAAATCTTAATCATCATTGGTGTCTTTATGCAATTTTTAAACTAAAGTTATAAGACTGAGAACAAGACTGAATGCTATATAGTATGCATGTACCTAGCAGTTTTGATATATGGAGTAAGTTGTTGAAAGCTTAATTAAGGACGTACATGCAGGATACTCCTAATTCTACTACGCTTATTGCAGGCTTTGTCATTGACAAAGCTCTCCTTTCAGCTAACCATTATTTTATATAAGTAGAGAGAAGGAGGGAGAGAGAATTCTTGAAGCATCAGATGAAGTGAAGCTATCCTTGTTGCAGATCAATCATAAATACACGAAATCAGTGTCATGAAAATCTTCACGGACATTTTTGTAGGATTTCATTTTTTCCTCCCGGTTATTTGCATTGTATTTCAATATAGGTAATGAAATATGAATTTTTGGGAGAATGCAAAATTAGGATATTTATATCTTTTAGAAAAGCTAATTTGTGGCCATCACATTTAAAGAAAGAATTTGGACTTAGTGCTTTAACTGTGTATCATACTTTTTTCTCTCAATTTTAGATGTGCTAACTAGTGTATATGGTGATGTCTTCTGTTATAAAACCTGTCCTTTATGTGTTTAATAAATGACTCACCTAAATATACTAACTGATCTATGTATTATATATGTTATATAATAAGTTGACATGTTTCTGTGTCTGTGTATGTCTTGTATTTGCTGTCTGTTTAAATGTCTTTTTATTGCATGTTATTTTTAATTATAAGCAATATCGGTCAAAAAGCTCTTCAGAGCTTATTTTCTACATGTTATATACACATGCCGACTTGAAATTAAAGCATATTCAAATTCAAATCAAGTCAAAATTATTTTACAAATTTTTATAAATTTTTGGAGTATCCACATTCCCGAGTCTTCTTTCACAATCTAAATCCAGTGTCTTTTCACTTTTCTGCACAGAATCTCAATATTTTACACTAATTTGATGTTAAATCACACGTGCTCTCTATTTCATGTTATTATTTATTCATTTGTAGAACGACACTTTACTTACGTGTCGTATCTTATTACATGTGAATCATTTTAACCAAAAAAAAAAAAAAAAAAAAAACCAAAACACCTCGTCACCTTGCGATGCACATTATTAAATAGGGCACCTTTCCAATTTTAATCACGTTTTCTCGAAAATTAAAGTGAAACGAATGTAGGAGTTTTACATATATCTGGTAAATCCCAAACGAAACAGTAATGTTTTTTAGACATAAAAATGCAAGAACCCTCCTCAGTCAGAACTCCCTTTTTCCTTCTGCTTTTGTGAGTACATGTAGATGACTCAGGATAATTCCAGTAGGGAGTGAATTGTGACAATGAATGAAATGAGTTACGTAAAAGAGACACGAGAAGAGGGAGAGAGTATACTGAAAATAAAGGAGGTATGAAGATGAAAATCAGTACGTACATGTAGGTGGGGAAAAGGTATTTGTGTTTTCTCGTCCAAATGCAATGGAGTGGCCCATTTATGTTAATCTATTGTGTTGTCATGTCCTTTATCCCTATTTGTGCTTTAAGCCCGACCTTCGCTTTCGCGAAAGCGAGGGGACATTAAATCTCATTCATCTGTCAGTCTATCACAAAAACTTTAACCTTGGTCTTAACTTTTGAATAAGAAAAGAAGAGGGTTTTTATTTTTGTTGTTCACACTACATGTGATAAGACCTTTTCTAAATACGCAGTTTACTATGACTTTTGAACTCGTGACCTTGACATTGAATTTAGACCTTTTTTTTTTAAATTTACGACTTAAACCTTGGTTGTAACTTTTAAATAAGAAGAGATCCAGCTTTCGTATTTCACATGTACGTTACATGTGACAAGACCTTTCCAAATATACTATGATTTTTAACCCTGTGACCTTGATCTTGAAGTTTGTCTTCATTTTCAAAAAATTTAACATTGATTATAATTTTTGGATGAGAGAAGATAGGATATTCATATTTGACGTGTGCATTACCCGTAGCAAGACATTTCCAAACATGCTGTGATTTTTTACCCCTTGACCTTGAAGTTTGACCAAATTTTCAAAAAAAAAAAAAAGATTGATTATAACTTTTGAATAAGAAAAGATAGGGCATTCATATTTAATATGTGAATTACCTGTGACGTTTCCGATCATGCCATGATATTTGATCCAGTGACCTTGACCTTCAAGTTTAACCTAATTTTCAAAAAAAATATCATTGCTGATAACTTTTGAGGGAGAGAAGATAGGGCATTCATAATTGACATGTGCATAACCTGTGACAAGACATTTCCAAGTGTACTACGTTTTTTTTTTTACCCCTGACCGTGATCTTGAAGTTTGACGGGGAGACACGGTTCTTTGAATTTGCTTGTTAACTTCCCTTACCTATGCAGCACTATACCCTTATCACCTGCATACGGGGTTTATATCTCTCAGTTGATTCGATACACCAGAGCATGCTCTACGTATGAACAATTTCTAAAACGAGGTAAGTTATTGACAAACAAGATGATGAAAAAAAGAATATCAGCAGTCTCATTTAAAGTCATCATTTCGTGAGTTCTATGGTCGATACAATGACCTTGTCAGCAAATACAATCTATCATTAAGTCAAATGCTGACTGACTTTTTTCATACTAATTGTTAGGCAATTATTTACACACTGAATTGTCGACGGATTTTTCCTTTATTTCCCGATCATGACGAGGAGGACACGGCGGGTGTGACCGGTCGGCAGGGGATGCTCACTCCTACATGGCACATGATCCCACCTCTGATGTTTAGAGGTCCATGTTTGCTCTGCTCCAAAATTTGTATTGTTTAATGGACTTTTGAGCTCGAATACTGTTCGTTATCTCCACATATTTCATCTTTGAGAGCTATATATAACTACAGGGAAATTTTGATAGTAACAACATTTATGTTATCAAACTTTATTTTTAAAACTGGAAAATCAGATATAAGAATATAGTTTATGCGATATCTGGTACTGTAGCTTCTGCTATTGTAGCTAAATACTGAATCAAAACAATGCACTTAAATAAAACTGAATTCAGGTATGGAAAGCATTTAAATAATACAAAAAAGAGTGGTCGGGTCAATCAGCAAATTAACTACATTTATTTGTCAAAAACGTGTTACATGAGGACATTGAAGTTTTTACGATCAGAGTAGAATAATCAGGATTTTTTTTTTATATATAATATGCTTGTGTAATGTATACATAAAATTAAAGGGAATTTTTTTCAGAAAATTTTCTGTCATTAAGCAAGGATATTCATTGGCAATTTAAATTTTGTAATGAAAAAATATACATTGTACATTTCTACAGAATAACGGATCATATATATCTCGCGTGGTTATTAATGTGCTGTCCACACAAGGGAATTTCAGAATTCTATAAATACATACATGTTTATATATCTAAATGGGTTTTCCCCTTCATGTAATAAAGTTTTATTTCATTAATATTTTCCATCATTCCAGTAAAGTTCTTACTCTCGATCATGATGGTATGTATTTTTTTTTTTTTTTTACTTTCGTTACTAATTGTATGTTACAAATACACGCATGTAAATATTTCGTTCATTTAATTAAATTTACCTGTATTCTGTCGTCGGCTATCCAGGAATGTGGCACGTGAGGCATACAGGGAATATCATTCAGACAAGGAGAATATTTTTCCTG